ATTCCCTACCTCACAGGGGTGTTGTGAGGCTTAGGTACCGAGCGAGTGTGATGCGTGGAGGGTCTCGGGCACCCGGGGCTGTGCAGGCAGAGCGGGGCACGGGGGGGGCCAGGGGGGGCCAAAAACGCTGCTACGAAAGTCCCGCACCCTCCGCCCGGGGCAGAGGCAGCTCCTCCCTCTGACACCCCGCTCAGGCTTCACCCCGAGCTGTCCGTGCTCCCCCCTTGGCTTTACTCTCTGTTCTGTTTGACCTGAGGAGAGGAGGAGGAGGGAGCAGGGGGAGGGAGGAGGAAGGCGATGGAGGAACGGGCTGGGAGTTCCATGTCTGAACTTTTGAGTTCCTTTGTACTGTACATCTTTTTACTTTGGAATTTGCAATAAAGAGGTATGTCCATCTTGTTTTAACAACTTCTCCTGGCTGCCCTGTCGTTCTGTAACCTTTGCACAGCAGCGACCGCCTCCCCAGTCCCCAAAATCCACACCCTCAGCTCATCCCTGCCAGGGCAGGACTCCAAGGGTGGCTTTGCAAGGTGGGGCTGGTCTGAAGCGTGGATGTCCAGCACCATCCCCTGCCCTGGAGGAGCCCCCGGGCTCCTCATCCTGGGAGAGTCACAGCTTTGAAACCCCCCGGGCACAACACAAAGCTCATCCCAGCCCTATCCCAGCGTATTCCAGCTCCTGGTTTAGGGAGGCTGAGCGATGCTTTAGGGGACACACCCTGCCACAACCACCCTGCAGGCCCACGCTGCTCCAGGGGGGACCTGCAGCCCCTGTGGCTGGCAGGGACCTGCCTTCCTTCTGCTCCAGAGTGAACACTCCAAGACCCACCAGCTCATCCCCGGCTCCCACCATCCACCAGCCTCGAGCTGCTCCTCGGGCTCCCCACGGTCAAGGCAGACGCTCCCCAGCACGGGGGGGCCGAGGTGACAGATGGCAAAACAGCCCCTGAGCCCCTCACCCTGCGGAGCAGCCACGGGGTTTGACCTTCACTGACGGGCAGGAGCCACCTGAGAGGACACAGGGACAGCTCCGTGCCAGGAACTGGCCGTGCTGGTGCTTCAGGAAGCGGCTCCCCGAGGGCAGCGGGGACCGTTCCATTCAGGGGAAAAAAAAAAAGCATTCTGTAAATTGTGTAGATTTTAACTGTTCTGCTCATCTCTGAAAGCCGCACTCGGGGTTATCTGTCTTTCCCTTCCTTCTCCTGTGCTCATAGGCCGCTTGGTTGGATTGATGCAAACCAGTTTTTGATATAAAGAGAAGCCTCCAGACCCCTGGTGGCTCCTCAGCCCACCCAGCTCCCACCCTCAGGAAAGCCAGGAGTGTCATCCCAGCACAAAATGCCTCTGCCACAACTCATCAGGTCAGGAGGGTTAAAATTACCCTCTTGCCCATGAATAATTAACTCCTGGTTCTGGCTCAGCCTGAGAACCCAGCAGAGGGGTTTTGCCCCCTCCCTGCCCCGGGGGGACCCCGCACTGGGGCTGCAGCCCAGGGAGCTCTGCCCGGCTCCATCCCTGCCACAGGGCACCTTAGCATCCAGTGACAACCAGGGACATCTCCAGCACAGCCAGGGGTGATGGGGGTGGCTGGTGGCCATCCAGCCCTGGGTAACCCAAGGACGGGCCCCTCCCTGCCCGGGAGAACACACAAGGTCGGTCTCTCCACCTCAGTCCCTCCACGAGGCTTTACTGGGTCTCGTTTTCCCTCCCGGCAGATTCCCGGCGATGCTCCGGTTTGGGAACCATCCCAGTTTCAGGCAGCCAAGAGCCTCCTCCAGTGGCAGTAGTACATCAGGGTCCCGGTGAGGAGGGTGGAGGTGAGGAAGGCTCCCAGGACGCCCAGGACCACGGGCTGGACCCAGCCCAGGGGGTCGCGGCTGTACCGGGGGAGCCGCTGCCGCTCCAAGAGCAGGTCCCCCGTGCCAGGGGCCCTCCTGCCCCGCAGCCCCCCGGGCTGCAGCTGCACGGAGCTGAGGTGCTGCACGCTCCGGCTGTATCCCTCCACGTTCCTCTTCAGCTGCAGGCTCCGGTCTTGGTTCAGGTTTTTCCCCAGCTCCCGGGCGATGTCGGAGCGACCGATGCTGCGGAGGCTCCGGACCAGCCGGTCCCAGGTCGTGGCCTCTCCTGCCGTCACCAGCCAGTGCCGCAGGGCTTCCGAGCACCGGCGGCCCCGGCGGGGGCGGCCGGGGCGGCTCCTCCCGGAGAGATGCTCCGGCTCCAGCTGCAGCTCCTCGTCGGGCCCGTTCAGCTCTGCCTGGAGCTGGAGGCACTCGGAGCGGGACAGCAGCTCGGCGATGCGGCCCATGGTGTGACGGCCCACGGTGGCCGCCACCGTGTCATCGCCCCGGCCACCCGTGGCCAGCAAGAGCAGGGCGAGGCCCACGGGCACCAGCATCGTTTGGGTACCAGCATGGACTTGGTGCCCCTTGGCACCAGGGACACAGAACCCCCTGCTGAGCTCACAATCCCCCGCTGACCTCACAGAGCAGCGTGTTCCAGGGACATCCGTCCCTCTGTCCAGCCACCCCTGCAGCCACGACATCCTTCGCTTCCCACATCCCCCTCCAGCCTGGAGCATCCCACCTGCACCCGCGGGATTCACCCGGGCTCTGCAGCCCCCGCCGCTCCGCCAGCACGTTTGGAGGGGCGGGATGGGAGCAGCCACTGCCCCCTGGGACACCCCCACCACCCCCGTCCCACCTCCCAAAGGCCACGACAACAGCTCGCCTGTCCCTCCCCAAGGAGGGGGGATGCAACACCCGCCCCCCACGCCGGGACCTGCCTGTTCCTCTCCCACCCCAAATCCACGGAGCAAAGCCGGGTTTAGCTTCGCTCGGGGTCAGGGCGACGACCCCATAACCACGAGGTGGCAATGCAGCCCCGAGGTGACAGCGCAGCCCCGAGGTGCCACCGGCGCTCCCACTTTCAGTCGGGGGGTCGATAAAGCTGAGATTTCCCTGGATCTCCTCGAAAAACTCACCCCGGAGGCTGCGGGGCTGCGCCGGCAGCAGGTGGAGGAGCCGAGCCCCCCTTTGCTGGAGGAGGAGGAGGAGGATGGAGCCTTCCTCCCGTTTTTCCGCAGCCTTTCTCCACAGCGCCGGAACCTCGGGGGTCCCAATAAAAGCCGGATTGATCCGGATGTTCCAGCGCCAGCACAAAGGCTCCAGCACCTCCCGGCCACCACTCAGGGATAGCACCCTGTCCCCTCCCTGCCACCACCCAGGGATAACACCCTGTCCCCTCCCTGCCACCACCCAGGGATAACACCCTGTCCCCTCCCTGCCACCACCCAGGGATGCCACACCACCCTGTCCCCTCCCGACCGGGGACCCGGCACCCAACTCCTCACCCTCGCACCCACCGAACCCCTGCCCCCTTTCCCCCGTCATTCCCGGCCCCCCCCGCACCTCCCCCGTACCTGCAAGCGCTGGGTGGGTCCTCCCCAGCAGCCAAACCTGCCCGAGACCCCCCTGAGCCCCCCAGGCCCGGGGGACATTCCAGCAGGGCCCCCTCCTCAGCAGGACATCGGTGCCACTGCCCCAACAAGGGAAGGGCAAACCTGGAGCCCACCCCCAACACCCCTGACGAGGGAAGGGGGCACCCTTGGATCCTCCCACCACCCTAAACAAGGGAAGGAGATTCACCTGGACCCCCATCCCCCCTAACAAGGGAAGGGGACACACCTGGGACACTCCTAACAAGGGAAGGGGACACACCCGGACCCCCATCGCCCCCAAGGACAGGAGTTGTTCATGTAATCTCTTTAATACTGTGTAATACTTTTCTTTTTTTAAAATACAGCATTTCTTGAGGTAGACCATCCCAGCCCTAGAGCTTGTCTGTCTCAGACATCAATAAGACATGAATTAAATACTTTCATGTACAATATGTTGCAAAATGAGGTAGAAATGGTTACAGAGAGTGTACAAATAGGATAATAATAATAATAATAAGTCTTCAGGAACCCAGCACCACTTTTTGGAGAGGGGTGGGGAGGAGCAAAGGGGGTGCCCTGGTAATGCCCTGGATGCAATAAGAAACTGTGAAAAAAATTGGGAAAAATTGGGAAAAACCCTGGCAGACACTTCGGGGTGAGGTGGGGGAGTCCCCGTGAGGGGTCTGTTCTCTCTGCATGTGCAGACCCTGAGGTTTGGGGGGGGCTGCTCTGAGGGGGAGGGCCTGGAGCAGCTGCTTCCCCACCTATAGAGCACTAAAAAAAAAATTAGGGTGTTTTTTTTTTAATTAGGGAAAAAAACCCACCCTCACAGCAATGCAGAGGGGTGGGGGGTGAGTGGATGGGTTGGGGGTTCATGCTCTTGTGCAAAACCCCTGATGGGTTTTTGGGGGGCTGGGGGGAAGTGATTTCCCCAATCTGTGGCCACCAGAGGAGCCAAAATTCCCTGATTTCAGGTGAAAAAGGAGCAGTGTCAGCACTGGAATCCTCCCAGCAAAGCCTGGGTGACCCCTGTGTCCCAAACCCACGCTGGGAGGAGGATCCCCCCCAGTTCCAGCCTGACTCTGGGAATGGGGACCCCCCCTGCTCCAAAAAGTGGTGCCAGCGACAGCTCCCAACCTACGGCACTAAAACTTCCCGTTGAAGACACGTTTTACTCCACCAAACGCTACAATAACAATGTTAAAAGCAAAAATCAAAAATAAAATTATGGCATAATATACGTGGAAAGCACCCGAAATACATTCAAATTTCATCTTTGTAACAGCTTCAAGTTTTTTTGTTTTTTTTTTTTTTCCTTTTCTTTCTTCCTTTCTTCACCCCCTTTGGAAGCAAATGCATGAGGCAGCTTTGTCCCAGGTTGGAAAACTCTTTAAAAAAATCTCTTTTTTTTTTCCTTTTTTTTTCTGAGAAGATAAAAAGAGTTTTTAAAAACACATTCTTTCATTTTTCTGAGGTAATTCTTTTCCTGAGTAGTTAAAAAGAAAAAACAAAAACAAACAAACAAACAAACAAAAAAAACCAAACAAAAAATACTACAGACCTTACAAAAATAAAAACCCAAGTCTAGGATATTCAACAATCTACAGCATTTTACTCCAAAACCTCCCGGTTTTGGGGTGTCACTCCCTGGTTTTGGGGTGGAACCCCCTGGTTTTGGGGTGGAACCCCCTGGTTTTGGGGTGGAACTCCCTGGTTTTGGGGTGTCACCTGGTTTTGGGGTGTCCCCCCTGCCCCTCCCTCCCCGATCAAGGTCATCGCCGGGGGTGAAGGGGCTGCTTGGCTCGGAAGACGCCCGAGGTATTTCTGTCGGGGACAATAAAAGCAGTTAAAAAAAAACAATAATAAAGCTTTTGGGTGGACGGGGGGAGCTCGTGCATCCGACGCCGGAGCGGATCCTGACGGCGGAGAGCCGGATCCCGGGGCGCCTCCAGCCCCGCTGGCACCACTGGTCCAGGGACGGACAGAGGGGAAAACAATAAATAGCTTTATCCTGAGTCGTGGGCGACACTCCCGAGAAAACCACGGAGGGGAAATCCCCTGGGCGAGTCCGAAAGAGGAGAGATGAGGTACGTGGTGGTGCTGCCGGCGGCGTCTCCCGCGCTTTTGGGAGGAGGGATCCGACCCCGCCCGGAGAACCGGAGTCCCGCAGACCCCAACCCCGCGTCCGCGCCCCAGATCCAGCCCCGCGGCCTCGGGGTCCGTCCCGGCGCCCCCGTCCCCCCGCTGCCGTCAGTGCCTGGTGCCGTACATCTTATCCCACTCCAGGAACAAGTCCAGCTCCTTCTGGGAGGCGGCGGGGCGGACCTTGCAGAACGCCTTCTCCAGGTCCTGGTAGGAGGCGGGGGGTCCCGGCAGGGCGCGGCGCGCGGCCCCGGCGTGCTGGCAGAGCCTCAGGAGCTCGGCGCCGGAGAAGCTCTCGGTGCGCTGCGCCAGCGCCGCCAGCTCCCGCTCGCTCAGGCAGCAGCTCTGCTGCGCCAGGGCCTGGCGCAGGATGTGCCGGCGCGCGGCGCCGTCCGGCAGCGGGATGTAGAGCCGCGTGCCGAAGCGCCGGTGCGACGCCTCGTCCATGCTGCCGGGCCGGGCCGTGGTCCCGATGACCACCACATTCTGCTCGGATGAGGTAGCCACGTTGTCCAGGTAGGAGAGGAGCTGGGACTTGAGGTTGCTCACCTGCCCGCCGTCCTCGCCCGCCCGGGCCGCCAGCAAGGCCTCGGCCTCGGTGATGAGCACCACGGCGGGCTGGCGGCAGCTGGCCACGAAGAACACGGTCTGCAGGATCTTCTCGGCTTCGGCCTTCCAGGTGGAGAGCAGGGTGGTCCCGCTGAGCCTCAGCAGGGTGGAGCCCAGCTGGGTGGAGATGCAGCGGCTCAGCAGCGTCTTCCCGGTTCCGCGGGGGCCGAAGAGCAGCAGGGTCCGCAGCGGGTGGCTCGCGCCGCTGTAGGCGCCGGGGCGCAGGATGGGCCACACCAGCTCCTCCTCGATGGCCGCCTTCACCGACACCTGCCCGGCCACGTCCGACCACTGCACCGGCGGCCCCCGCTCCACCACCTTGGTGTTCACCAGCTCCAGCACCAGCGGGTCGACGTTCTTGGGCTGCTCCTCCACCGGGGCGCCGCCGAACACCGGCGCTTTGGGGGGCAGCCGCAGCGGGAAGGGGGGTCCCGGCTCCGCCGCCCGCTCCCCGTTGGCGAGGGGGGGGCTGAACTTCTCGAAGGGCTCCGCCGGCCGCAGCGGAGCGTCCCCGGCGCCGTAGGGCGGCGAGACCATGCTCTTCATCTGCTGCCCGCCGTACTTGCCGGCGTGTTCCTCGGCGTTCCCCGCACCCCCCGGCCGCTTCCCGGCCTTGAAGGCCACCTGGGGCGACTCGGCGGCGCCGCCGAACCCGTTCCCCCGGCACTCGCCGTTGTCCGACATGGGGTAGGGGGACTTTGGCTGCTCGTAGCTGTATTTCCTGTACCTGCCCTCCCCGTCGTCCTCCCCGCCGATGTCGAACGCCTTCCTCTTCAGCGCGCCCGCCTCGGTGCCCAGCGGCGGCACGGCCAGGGGGGCCAGCCCGGCGCCCTGGTAGCCGTACCCGGGCACCCCGGGCGGGCGGGCGGCGGGCGGCGGGGCCGGGATGGGGGTGGGCGCCGCGATGCCGGAGGGCAGGTATGAGGCGGGGGGGTGGGGCGGGTGGATGCCCCCGTAGCCCGGCTGCGGCGGGTAACTGCCGGCGGCGTAGTTGTACATGGGGCCGGAGGAGCCGTAGCCCGGCACCAGGGCGGGCGAGGGGTGCGGGGGCTGCAGGAGCCCCGAGCCGTGGAGGGCGGACGGGTGCGGGGGGGGGAGCGCTGCCGCCGGCTGGGTGCAGTAGCCGGAGGGCAAGTAGGTGCCGCCGTAGCCTGAGGGGTACTCCTGAGACGCCCCGAGCCCGCCGGAGCCGGCGGCGGCCCCTCCGCAGGAGTTCCCGGGGTACATGGGGTCGGCGAGGTTGGCCGACACCACCGGGGAGCCGCCGAGCCCGATGGCCCCGCCGGCGGCGGGGACGGCGGGCGGCACCACCCCCTTGGCGCCGGGGAGGCCATCGTGGATGGGCGTCAGGGGGTAGGTGCCGTCGGAGCCGTGAGCCCCCGGCCAGGGCTCCCCGTCCCCCTTCTGCCCGTTAACGGGCCCGAAGGCGCCATCCCCGTATCCGCCGAGCGCCGGGCGCTCGTAGGGCGCGTCCAGCACCCCCGAGTACTTCTCGGCGTACCTCTTGAGGAGGTTGGAGGCCGTGAGTGCCGAGATGTCGTCGTTGGCCCAGGCGTAGTTGAAGCGCTGGCGGGTGCTGGGGTACAGGTCGGACTTGTGGGCCGGCGAGGAGGTGGTGGAGGAGACGTCCAGGTGCTGCTCCGGCCACTGGTTCAGGGACTGGGCATGCTCTGGTGACCAGTGCATCTTCGACAGACCTGTGGGGACGGGGCGGCACAGGTGAGAGCGGTGAAACAGGGATGGGCACCTCTCTGCGTGGAGCACCCCCAAAAACCTGGACTGGCCTGTCCTGTGCCCCATCACACCCCCCGACTGCAAGCACCTGCTTCGACTCACCCTAAACTTTCACAGGATCCCCGAATCCCTGAGGCTGGAAAAGCCCTCCAACATCACCGAGTCCAACCTGTGCCCCATCCCCACCTTGTCCCCCAGCCCAGAGCACTGAGTGCCACCTCCAGTCCTTCCTTGGACACCTCCAGGGGTGAGGATTCCACCACCCCCCTGGGCAGCCCCTTCCAAGGCCTGACCACCCTTTCCACGCAGTTCTTCCACCCAAAAATCCCCTTTGACCACAGGGGCCTCCACACCGGGGTCGGTGTCACCCTCTCTTGCTCCAGTCCCCCAATACCAGTGGCCCCTGAGGGTGGTGGCAGCGTGTCCCCCTCCCCACCCTGCTGTGGTGCCCCTGTCCCCCCCATCCCCTCCGGGGACACCGACACCGGAGCCAGGCGGGGGCCTCGTGCCCCCCTCGCTCTCCGCTTGCAGCCTTTAAGCCACTTTGTGGCCACGGCACAATTAGATTACCTAATGCTTTAATTGACTTATAGGGCATTTGTGCTTCCACTTTGGATATCAAACTTCCACAAGAGGATTTAGATGGTGGCTTTGCGTGGCTTGAGCCGCCCTCCCCCTGCATTTATGGCCATTATCAAAGAGCTCCTGGTGGATAAACGCCCAGCAGATCCTCCCGGAGCCGCCCGCGGAGCCGGCTGGGCACGAGGGGCATGGGGGGCACCTGGGGGCAAAGGCACCAGGAAGCTGCGAAGGGAAAAAGGAGCATTTGGGGACTCCAGGAGGAATAAGACATTTCCCTTGATTTTATTTTTTTTTTAAGGATTTAAAGCCCTGTGAGTTTCCATCCTTGTTCAGAGGGGGCTGAGCGCTGTGCAGTCCTGCAGCTGCTTCTGCCCCCCCAAAATATCCAGCTGGAAACGCCCAGGGCTCAGGGGTTTGGGGGGCCCCAAGAGGTGTCCGACTGCTCCAGCACTGAGCCCAGTGTGGAGCGTGGCAGGAACGAGGTGCCACCAGCACAACCAGCAAACCCCAGTGGCATTCCCAGGCTTCTGAAGTCAGGGAGCAGCTGCCCACAGAGACCCTCACCCTCCCTCACCCTCCTGGGGAAGGGAGGACTCAGCAACCCACAGACCACGGAAATCCACATCCGTCTTCTCCCGTCCTGCGGCATCCGGCAGCGCCAGCTCTGTTTCTGCGGAGAACACCCCGAGGATGGACAGAACCCCACAGCAACCAGGAGCACCCAGCTTTCCCATAGATTGATCCCAGTGCCTGAACCCCACTGCTCACACACCAGCTAAAAACTGGCATCTCAGGATGGGCCCAGTGATGGAATTGCTTTCCCAAGAGCCTGGAAGAGGGTGGCTGGAAGCCCATCACGATGGCACGGCTCCTCCAGCCCCCATTCCCGAGCCCCGGACCCCGGAGCTGCCGGGAGGAGCGGGGCAGGGGGGTTTGCAAGGCCGCAGGTTTGCAATCCTGAGGCGCCAACCAACCCTTTAAGGACAAGAGAGGCATCTGGGAGAAGAAAAACCCAAATCCATGGAAAAGCCGGTCGCACCCTGGAACACGCCGGGAGGGGGAGGGCGGCGGGCAGGGAGGAGTTGTCAGGGCTGAAATGGGACGTGAATGAGCTGCGGAGCGGGACAGATGTTTCAATGCTCCCCTTGGCAGTGTGAGAAAATTACTGTCCAGTGACCAAATGGCCGGGCCGGTTCCCACCCTCGCTGCTGCCCATTATCCCCAGCGCAAGACAAAGGCGGGCAGGGGGGCTGGGCAGGGAGAATCCTATTGTTCCCGCCCGCCCTAATTATGGAAATCTTGTTAATCTATTCAGCAGCGACTCTGAACTGGGCTTTTGTTCGGGGGTTTTTAGCGGGGAGCACCACCGAGGGTGTCCAACGGCTCGGCGTGGGGACGGGGTGCGCTGCCTCCCGCCACCCCCCACCCCGGGAGAAGCTCCGGCCACGAGGCCTCGGGATGCTGGGCTGCCCCAGAGCAGCATCTCGGGGTGAGGTGGCTTTGTTGGAACAGGGATATCCCGTCCTCGGGCCTCGTATGCAGAGCACACCACGTACACACACCCCCGCCCACGTTGGCCCCACGCACACGGTGCTGATGCTGGTGCACAAAAACCCCGGCAAAAATCCCGCAGGGACGACCCACAGGCAGCATCTGCTGATGGCTGCAGCGATCCCACATCCCTGGGGGGATCAGGAGAGGGCTCCAGTGGATTTGGAAGGCAAAGAAGGAGAGCGACGCGCGAGAGCAAACACGCTCGAGCTGGGGGTGCACTGAAGCCCAAGGTTTAAATCCAGCCGAACTCCCTCGAGCCTTGGGAAGAGGGATCAGCCCCTGGAGGGAGCGATCCAGGTGGGCTCAACCCTTTGGTTGCGTTATCCCAGTCCTGGGGTGCCGGGATGAGCCGCGGAGCCGCCTCCATCCACCACCCCCCGGCCGTCCCGCCGCTGTCGTGCCGGTTTAACGCTGACGGCTCCTCCGGGCCGAGCTGTCACTCGGAGCAGTTATGCTCTTTCCAAAATCCATTGAGCAGCTCCATTATCCCTGAAAGCCCCGCGGCAGCGCGGCCCGACGCGATCGGCTCCCGAAAGCCGCCCTGCTTCCAGGGGCTGCCCGACTTCCCGGGATTTTAACGCTCTGCCACGCAAGGTTTGGGCCAGGGGAGAGAAAACGGGGATGCCGGAGCCTCCTTCCACAGCCCAGCCTTCACTGAGCCCCGAAAATACGGATTTCCCACCTCAGGGATGCGCGTGACGGATCTTCCATGCTGGACTGTGCACCCAGTGGTGGGTCTGGACAAAGAGGAGGAGAGAAGAGGCTTCCCCAAGTCTGCCCAGGAGTGGGAACGACTTTTTCTTCTTCTAAATGATGTATTTCCTGATGATCTTTTGGGCTACAGCTCCCTGAAGCAGAGCCCCAGAGCTCTGGGGTCCATCCCTGCCTCCTCAGAGCAGCCCGGGGAAAGTGCAATGGCATCATCCGGGTGAAATCAGGGCTGTAAATCAGAATTATGACCCTGCAGACACTGTGCTGACCCTCACAGAGGACCTGAGGCTCGTGGCAACGTCTCGGAGCTGCTCCAGCACTAAGGCTGGGGATTAAAGCAATATTTGGGCGTGTTGATACATGCCTTGAGGCCAGACTCCGGTCATCTCCAGCGAGTCTGGAATAGGCAGAGCAGCCCAGCGGAGCCCGTCCCAAAGGCAGGACCAGGCACAAAGCTCAGGTGTCGTAACCCCACCACAGCAGCACCGGCGAAGGTTCCACCCCCAGCCCGGCCCAGGCGGGGATTCCGTGGCAAACCCCAAGTTTTCCAAGGCAGACCCAGGGCGTTTGGCAAACCCACCGCGGAGCCGCAGTGACATTCCCCGTCCCCTCCCCAGCGAGGGCTGGGATTGCAATCAGAGCAGGGGCAATGTACATGTGTTAAAAGGATTTGGGTTGACTCCCCCCCCCCATGCCCTCTCCCACCCCCGGGAGGAACAGCCTCATCCCGGGTGATCCCAAGGCTCCGGCGGCCGCTCTGGCCGCTCATATATCAAGTGCAGAGCAGCTGGACACCAGCACGGGCCGGGAGTGACCAACGGGCCGTTGTCCATCTGTGCTGCCCCGGCCCCGGCCGGCGAATGAAAAATTCATCCGGATCCGGCGGCAGCTGAACATCCCCATCTGTCACGGGCAGGAGAGAGGAACCCACCGCCAACGGCACCCGGGGGAGCCAGAGTCACGGCCCCTGGCCTGGGAATTCCGGGATCAAGGGGATACGGCAATAAAACCCGGGGGCTGGTAATAAGGAGGCGACGTGAGGGGCGGATCGGAGGAATTTTGCTCCGCGCGTCGGCAGAGGGTGGGCGGGAGGAAAACGAGATGGAAAGGGATGGAACGAAACAAGCCAAGTGAAACAAAGCAAAACAACAACAACAAAAAAAAAACAAAACGAAATGAAACGAAAGGAAACGGTGACACAGCAAAATAAACCCGGCCAAACCAAAACGAAATAAAATAGAAATAAGAAAAGCGGACCTAAAAGAGCAAAAAAAAAAAAAACAGCCTCCTTTTGCCACTTCTATTTTTCTTGACACCGCTTGTCTGGACCCCTCAGGCTGCTGAGATCTGGCCTTCAGCCCTGCACCACCCCCAGGAACGTGTTTGGGTCTAGAACCCCCTGGAAGCTGAAGCTGGTTCAGGTCCTCTCCTGCCACTCCACCAGCATGATCCCCCCCTCTGCGCCAAGGATGAGCATTAATTCCAAATGATTAATTATCCCATTAATCCATCACAGTGCTGCCCACTCCCTGCCATGGGTGGCTTCAGCTCCCTCTGACAGTGTCCCCACTCCTCCAATGGATCTCCTCCTGCCCTGAACCACCTCACTGCTGCAGGAGCTCCCTCGGGGTGACATTCCAGCTGCGGGCTCCACATTCCAGCTGCGGGCTCTGCCTGAAGGACAGTTCTCAGGCGGGCAGGAGGATTTTCCCAGGAGCATCCCTGAGCACTGGATCCTGCCGTCCTCCAGGTCACCTCGAGGAGCAGGAGAAGCCTCAGCGTGTGCCAGGGAAGGCTCCCATGGGTGCTGCTCAGATCCCTGTTGGGATGAAGCTCCCGTTATGAACCCCCCAGCCCCGGGTCCATCTGCTCCAGGATCTGCCCTCGGGGGGGGGTCAGTGCCGGGAAGGGGCTGCAGGAGGGAGATAATTCCCTCCGTGCACCCTCCGTGGCAGCAGCAGCAACGCTCCAGCTCCTCTCCTCCACGGAACGAATCAATCTTAATTAACTCTAATTCCGGGGAGCCTCCCAGCCCCATCCAGCCCCGCCAAGGCCGCTGCGTTTTCCGCCTCGGTGCCCGCCGGGGAAGGTGCCCCGCAGGGAATTGGGCAAAACCTCCTCTTTTCCATCATTCCTGCACCTCCTTTCTCCACGTCCCTGTCACACGCCCCGCGGGACGAGGGATCCAGCCCCATCCCTGGGGACTGGGCCATCCAGCCCCAGCGGATCCCGCCGGAGCGGGGCCGGGGAGGCCTCTCGCCGTGGCTTTTGTTTTCACAA